CACATGCACACGCATACACGCCCCACCCTCTAAGGAAACCATACTTCACTGTCAGAGTTAACTTCTGTTTGAAGTTTTTCTAGATCCCTATGCTTCAAAGTACCCATTATTTCTCTGTATGACCCCATGCATGAATCATCTCCATCAACAACACCATGGGGAATTTTTTTGAACATAAGATTCCCAGGTCCCACCACAGATCTAATGAGTAGGTGTTTTTGGATTATAATCAGGAATTGCACTTTAACAAGCAACCTGGTGAGTCATATAATCACCAATGTTTCAGAAACCCAGCTAAATATTTTCCTCTGCCAAAGTAGAGTTTTAAATATTAAATATATTTATCTTTCTCTCCCAGATTAAGTCCCAAGAGAAGAGAGAGGCCATGTGTGTTTTGCCTCTGGGCAATGGCTAGCAAATTTCCAGGAATAGCATAATCATCAAAGAAATGAGTAAATTAATCAGTAGACACCCTGGTTAAGGTCCAATCTCTAACTAATTAGAACATTGTTCTCAAGGGAACATAAAATTGACTTTAAAATGAAGTTTCTGGGGAAGTTTGCTAGAATAAGAATAGCATACCAAGGACTGATGTCTTAAAATAAGTGAGGAAATATCAGTTTGTAACTACTCTGCCTGTTTGTTCTTCTGGGTCCCACTTTGTCACCAGTAGTCATCAGACATCTACAGCATCAAAAGTATTTGTAAAGAAGGCAAAGTTGAGTTACAAAACTAAATTTCTATATACATTATATACACACAGTACATACATACATACACATATTCATATGAAGTAAAATTTCATAAATTCAAAATCACAACCGCTAAAATATTTTTAATGTAATTGTCATGCCTTTTAAATAAAAAAATTTTAAGTGTAAATTTGTTTAACCAATCTAACAGAAATTTTGGAGGAATGTATCATGTATAATGTTCTCTTTTCTGAGTTAAGAAACCAATGCTTGAAATGTAAATAAATGACTGATATACACCAATATCTATAAAAAGGCATTACCTCCAAATTAGTCACCACACACAATAATAGGCTACTAATGTATGGCAACTTCCCAACAAACGTGCAAAATAAAAGCAATAAAAACTGGAAACCCTATCTATATATCAGTAAGTGCAGTAAGTCAAGGAATGGGCTCTGTGGTCTTGGACAACCGACCTAACCTGCCTATCATTATATTCTAATGATGATGATAATAACTCAGAGGCTGTAACAAGGAGTAAAGGAAATAATGTATGTAAGAGGCCATAAATAGTGGCTGGTACATGATAACCATTCTTCAAGTGTAAACTATCATTCTGAATATTACTGTGACCACAGAGAAATACTTTTCTATTATCTTATCAAAACAGAAATGAGAATTACATAAATGTCTTAGAGCAAAACACCTGATAACTACCTGCATTTTAGGATTATAGATCTTAAACCCTTTGGTTAACAATTTTATAAATTTCTAACAAATATTAACTCATCATCTTTATTTTTATCTTTAACTGTCTAAAGCAGGAAGTCATGATCATACTATAATCTGCCTTTATTAAATTGAAACCTTCACTGAAATCACTAAACATTTAATTTTCTTTTGTTTTTGGTTTTTGTTTCCATAGTTTTCCATTTACATTCATACAAAATTCAGCATAATTAACGACTGCCTCTGCACTTTCTTTGCCCAGATCAGATTAACATTTCAGACTATTTCTGTTATATCTACGTGAGTCCTTAGAGCCTATTTCTGAGACTTCACAAAAAGTGTGGTTGTAGGGTCACTGATAACCTCTATGCTACCCAATCCAAAGGCTCATTCTCACCGTGCTTGACCCATCTTCGGCATTTAATCCACTCTGTGACTCCCTCTTGTAATATTCCTTACTTGACTTCCAGGACTCACTCCCTATCCTCTCTTCCTCCCAAGCATTTATCACTATGTCTGCCTTAGTAATTGTCTGTTTTGTTCACTCATGCATCCCCCAGACTTAGAATAGTGCCTGGCACATAGTACTCAATAAACATTTGTTAAATGAACTGAACTGAAAGAAAAGAATGAATCTCACCTAAGAAAGCTAACAAAGTCTACCCTCCCAGTCTTTCTCAAAAATGCGTGCTTCATAGAACTAAATTTTGCATCTCTCTAGATTAATAATATATTATTAGCATAATTTGCAATCAAAAAAAGAAATATTTTGTGTATATGTATTTGTAATATACTATAGATTCCCATAACAAACAGTATTAAAGAAAATCTTAAATTTAACTTTAGGAGACACCCTAATTTCATACTTCATGGATTCACCAACTGTGTATTAATTGTGGTCAGATGTGTGGAAGCAGTCACAAACATACATAACATCGATACCTTAAAAAAATGTGTAAAACTCCCAATTTACCTAACTTTTATGTAATATAGCTCATTTTTCACATGTTCTTGAAATTGTTTTTTCTTCCCAACTAAGTAGATTTGACTGTACCAGTCCTGACTGATGCTGAAGAGTTATCATGTTCAACACAATTTCATTACATTTAGGAGACATAAACCTGGACTTTTATATTTTCTTCTGTCTCATTCATTACAAAATACAACTAAAAAATAAATCAAACAAAGTTGCTATACAACAATGTTGATGTTTACTAACTATACTGAAATACACAGTGAACCTGAGAAAGTACTTAACTTAGCTGATGTACACAAATCCAAAAAGGCAGTTTAAGAGTATTAATGATGCAATAGACAAAAGTGAATATCATCTTAAAAAGTAAACAAATACCCAAAATCTTCTACTGCTTGAAGAACTGCAATAACCTGCTTCCAGTTTTCCTGCTTTCCCACTATCAATGTAGCCAGAGATGTTTATGATTAAGCACTACCTTGACAAGGTACACAAACTGTATTAACTGCTTTATCTATTTTCACCATACCATATAAATATCACCACTAGGTCAATCCCACGAGGTACATGTTATCATTCCTCTTTTAAAGATATATAATCAAGGGCATCCCTGGTGGTGCAGGGGTTAAAGACAGTGCTTACAATCTATCGCCAGCCACTGCAGCACCAGTTCAATCCCCACGCCGGCCAGGGAGCTACCCACATGGTGCAGCAGATCTCTCCTGTCTTGCCTGCTGCTCCCTTCAGCAGTGTATTTCAGTAGATTTTTTTTTTAAAGATTTTATTTATTGATACATGCAAGAACTGGGGTACAGGCCAGAGGTGTAGGGGGGGGAGTGAGAGGGTTCACCAGGAACAGAGTAGGGAACAGAACAGGCAGATCGACTGAAATACACTGTTGAGGGGAGCAGCGGCTAAGTCAGGAAAGGTCTATTGTGCCTATTTCAGTAGATCTGCCTGTTCTGCTCCCCATTCTGTCTCTGGTGAACTCTTTTACCTCCCCCACACCTCTGGCCTACACCCCAGTTCTTACATGAATAAATAAATAAATCTTTTAAAAAATAAATACATAGAATCATGCTAAAAAAAAGTTAGGAGACTTCCTCTAGGTCACACTGCTACTACAGGATGGAGTGGGACCCAATCATTCTCCAGTAAGAAGCAGTACTCAACACCAGTACTCAACAAAAGTGAGGGATCACTAAGTACTATCCACTTACTGAAATCTTTTTTGTAATTCACAGACTATTTATTCTATGTCCATGACAATAATATGTGCCAAGCATTTTAGTCATATAGGGCTTACTTATTGTTCCCCGGAATCTAATATTTGTAACCTGTTCAGATACCTCTCAAATTCTGAATTCTAAAAGAAGAAGTTTGTATTCTTTTTTTATCAACAACAACAACAAAACTGGAAGCATTCGTCACATGATTATCCAATAGGCTCAAAACCATGCTGACTTAAAACTAAATTATCCTTCTCTCATATTAAAACAATAAAGAATTAACATTTCTAGTGAAATATTAGTTGAAGGTAAAATCAAATCATGATAAATAATTACAAAAAAAGGAGTTTTCTCCCACTCCTTGCTTGAAGGAAGCTGAAGCAGTATTAAGAAGTCACTAACATTTATGAAAGGGGATAGGAAATAACCAAATTACCGTACTGGGGCGGAGAGGGGTGCGTTGAATAAAAGACGATTATTTTTCCTTGACAATGATTTTTTTAAGTAACATTTTTTAATGTAGCATTTCACAAAGAATTTTCATACATTAGCTTATTGATGAACCTCATAACAACTGCGAGATAAAATTAACAAAGTAAAAATACTAGGTATTGGCATGTTCACAGCGGAAACTTAAGCTACAAGATTTGGGAACTTCTTAAAGGCATAATGCCACCAATTCTGTCTTTAGGTTATCCGGTTTGTTTTGTTTTCACTTTTCCCAGGTCATCGCTATTGCACAGAGCTCGCTGCCATCCCCAAGCCACCTGGTCAAAGAAGACAGACAGCTTGGATGAGGGGACCCTTGCAAGACAACTGAGCTTGTCACTGGAAAGATGGCAATGAGGAAGGAGGGGAGACAAAGATAGCTTCTGACTCACTCACTGTCTTTGTCTAAAGGAATGTTTCTGGGACGCCGCTACCCTCTCCAGCAAAACTCCGATTTTGTAGGCTAAGGTGAGTTTTCAAGGGTTTGTCCTAGCGTCCCCAGCCCCTAACACCTGCCACCACCTATAACTTAAGTCTCTACCCGCCGCGGCCCAGGGACAGAACAACTCGGCTCCTCTCCAGCGGCTATGAAAAAGGACTTTGCTCCATTCGCCGCGACTTACCTGTCGGGTCATAAGAGATTTGATTTTTTGCATGTCGAAATCGTGAGGGGATATCCTGCCACAAAGAACTAACAAATCACACCGAAACACCACATAGCTGGACCCAACAGAAGGCAGCCATAGTGAGCGGTCACGTGGAGCTATGACCAGGGTCACCCTTCCCTGTTCTGGGCATGCTGGGAACTGTAGTCTTCCGGTTGCGGCCGGTACCTGTAATGGAGGAGAAAGGGTAGTGCGGGCACTACATTTCCCAGCAAGCAAAACAAAGGGCGCCTCAGTTAAGCCGGCAAATCTTGTTGCTTTAAGGTACCACGGCTTTAGCCGGTATCTACAGAGCACTTGTTTTCGGTACTTCCACTTCCACGAGGCAAAAATCTTACTCAAAAGTAAGCATACTTGAGCGACAGGAACAAATACTGAGACCACACTATATAAGCCACACTGGAGCGCATTGGAGGAAATTTCACCTGGTCCAGAGTGGCGGGGTGAAAGGCCGCGAGACTGACGCCTAGCGGAACCCAAGGGAAAGTGCTTCCGAGTGGTGACCTGACAACCTGGAACGCCCCTGGTGGCGCTGGGCTGGGTCGGAGGACACGTGTAATTCAGGTTTTCCAGTCGACTGCTGGCCAGGGTTAGGACTGTTTGTTCTTTCTCCGTCTTGGCATCCTCTGCAAAAAGCCCTAAATCCAAAGGATTTAACCCCCACCTTTTACTATTTGTTGCCTGCACAATCTAAGACAAGCCAAGGTGGAAAATATATCAGATACACAGGTCATTTTAAAGTTCTCTTTCCAACTTTTTGCAGTTTAGCTAAACAGAGGAAAGGAATAGAGGAGTCATTTGAGATTCAGTTTAAGAACTTTACAGTTTTGAGGTAAAACCTGAAAGAAAGAGGCCCAGAGCCAATAATGGCTAGTATTTACTGAATGTTTTACTACGTGTGAACTCTATTAATAGCTTTATGTTTATTATCTCATTTATCCACACAAGAATCCTAAGGGGGTTATACTATTATTCCCATTTCAAGGATGGGGAAACTGACTTGTGGAGAAATTAAGTAGCTTGTCTAATATTACTGCAGTTGTGCAAGCAGAAATTGAAGGACTGATTATCCAGATGTTTTAAGCAAGGTTTTCATGTGTGGTGCTGAAGGGTGACTCCCAAAGCTTGGTGCCAGTGATTATTTGAAATATACATTTATTTTTAATGTTTATTAGAAAAAAACACAAACCCGTGATTTAAAAATATTTCTTGTAACAACTGAAAAAATGTTAGTGTGCCATACTAATGAAAAATATTAGGTCAACAGTAGTATGGGTGGTACTCAGGTCAAGCAAAAATGATAAAAGTGGTTTGCAAGTGATTGAAATTTGAGGGAGACTAACGTAGCAGTTATTTCCAACTCTTAAATTCTATTACTTGACCCTTGATGTCTTACTAATTTTTACAAATGAGATCGAAATAGTTGGCCTAGAGTTTGCTAAGGATAAATGAGAGGATGAGGATGAATGCAATTTATAAATTATAAAGCACTGTACAACTTTGCGGTATTACGGTCATAACTGCTCTATTCTCTACTCCAAGAGAACCACCATTTGCGTATTTCTATCATTATTTGTATTAACAGTTCCTTTTGAAACTGTGTTTATGTGCTTCTCTGACCCTTATTTTAACCTTACAAGGAAATTCTAGTCACTTTAGGGCAATCTTAGTTTAGTTCATTCTTTATCTTCTCTAATCTTAATTCCCAGATGGTTCTCAATATGTGAAAATCTTCAGTGTATGTATGTCCCTAAAGCATCAAAAGAAACAGAGACTGCCAAATATTTTAGTATATAAAATGAAAGCCAATTTAGTGTTTGTTGATTGTTGGGCGCAAGATAACACTGTACTAAGCACTTTAGATTAATGAAATACTGTTGTGGTTGTCAAGGCATATACGATATAGTTAAAAAAGCATGCATAAGGGGTGATACAAATCCAGACATTCTGAAACCTTGCTGTTGAGATTTACACTGAATGTGCCATTATTATTTTTATTCTTTTATTCTGGGTTGTTCCTTTGTATAAGACTGAAGCATATTATTTTATTCTCATCTTTCAAAAATACAGTTATGAGATTTATTGAGGACTTTCACACCTGCATGAGAATTATTAGTGGCAGAGCAAATTAATGAAAAGTGTGTTTGGTCTACTGACAAATCTTAAGATAATAGTCCCTTAGTCCCTCGGTAATGTAGTGACAGCCTGTATTTTTGTTGTTTTTTGAGGTTTTTTTGTTTTTTTTGTTTGTTTGTTTTTCAGATTGGAACATCAAAGCTGACAGTTTATAAGTTGATCTGTCTGAGAGCAGCAGCAACAGCAAAAGAGTAGGATAAGGAAGTATTTCTGATGGTTCAAACAGGAGAAGCCTCTGGAAGGTTAAATAAAAGCTGAGATTCAGGTCTGATTAGGAAGATACATTTCTAAGCATCCTAAATATCAAAGCAGTGCAGAGATGTCACCCCTCCAAAATAATTATAAATAAATAAATAAATAAATAAATTTCTGCTACTGAGCAAACAGTAGCAGAAAACAGAACTTATGCTAAAAGTAAAGCAGAGACCTGGAGAGCACTATGCAGCAAAGCATAGTCATTTAACAGCTATATCCTGTGGATCCAGACTTCTGGGGGCAGCATTTTACACTTAACTATATAATAATCGCTGGCAGGGGCAATTGTAATGCCCTCCTCTAGCAGACAACTTTTTCCTGCAATTGTATTCTTTCCTAGGATTTATTTAATGACAGTGTTTTCTTTCACGAGTTCTATTTAGTTCCCTAATTGACTTGGCATTTCACCAGCTCTCCTTCTCAAAGTTTCTTACATTGCAAAATCCTCATTCGCTACTAGTAAATAAAGAATGTGAAGATTTGAAATGCATGTAACAGACTATTGGATTGATTTTTAAAAAAAAAAAAAAAAAAGACTTACTTACAATTTAAACAAACTAAACAGTAAACTGTAGTGTGACTTGAGGTGACAGTCTTATGCCATCCCACCACCACCCCCATACACTATCCCAAATGACTTCTTACATCACTTGAATTCTTGAATTTGATCAAATTTAGGTTTTATTTCTTAATCACCTTTTAAAAAAAAAAAAGATTTGTTTATTTATTTATACAAGCACTAGATACAGTCAGAAGCACGGGAGGGTGAGAGAATTCGCCAGAGCAGGGAGCAGAGCAGGCAGACTGACGAAGTACACTGCTGAGGGGAGTAGTGGGCACAGCAGGAGAGGTCTGCGCGCCATGTGGGACCCTTGCCAGTGGCCGGGGATCGAACCGGCACTGCAGAGGCTGCGGGCATCTTCGCAGCCCAGCACTCAACCGCTGGGTCACCAGGGGAGGCCCACCTTTTTTTTTAAAAAAAATGCAAATGTAGCTAAGATCAACAAACAATAAAGCTCTTGAATAGTGTGGTAGAGCAGTTTCCCAGTGAGTTACAGGTGAGATGTGAGGTAATTTTGATGGTAGGAAATTTATTACAATAATAAAACATTAAAACATTTTTAGCAATCATGCAAAAATTGACAACAGTTGAAGTTATTTTTTAACATTTCTTGTGTGGACCTATGTAAAGGTCCTTAATCCAGAATTGAGTTTATGCCTACCATCTGCCACTAGAGGGCACTTTGTCGTGGTGATGCCATTTCCCACGTTGCTCTATTCAAGTGTCATTTTATATGTGTCATAACATGAAAAGATCACAACTATGATTAACTATGAAAAGATCACAACTATGATTTATTTTGGCATTTAATTTATTTACATAACATTATAACCTATTTCATAAAGGGATATATTTAAATACAACAAAAAACTCAATAAAAAGCAGTCCTTTCAGTTAAATAAATTTAACACTAGGAAAAACTATTTTTTGTCTTTATCTCTTTTGCTTAGGTGCTGAAAAACTTCATCATGAGCCAGAACTGAGTTGGAAAACAATGAAAGGAGCTTTGTTATAAAGACAAGTAAAGATTAATATTTATTTAAAAGATGTCATCATAAAAGATGTCAGGGAGTTTTGTATGTTTTTTGTAGAATTTCCAAATTGTATTTTGTATAATCCATATTAAAATTTATATGCATTTCTTAAGCATCAACTAAAAATCAGAACATATAGGTTATGGAGAATTAGGAGCAAACAACTTAGCAATACTAGTTAAGCATGATGCGAAGGATCCATATATAAATAGGACTGTCTATTTGACAAGTGCAGAGGGAAAATAAACATGCAGTAAAATTAATTGGGGTTAATGAGATAAGAGTTATAAATGCATATACAAGAAATAACAGAAAATTGTGGTATAATAATTACCTGGTAAGGGCCTCCCTGGTGGCCCAAGGGGTTGAGTCTCAGCACTGTAAAGCTATCTGCAGCTACTGCAACATGAGTTTGAACCCTGACCAGGGAGGTGACCCATATGGCGCAGCAGACCTCTCCTGTCTTGCCCGCTGCTCCCCTTAGCAGTGTATTTCAGTCAGTCTGCCTGTTCTGCTCCCCACTCTGTCTCTGGTGAATCCTCTCACCCAGCTCACTTCTGGCCTGCACCCCAGCTCTTGTATGAATAAATAAATAAAATAAATCTTTAGAAGATTCAGATGTTCCAACAGCCACTTTTTTTTTTTTTTTTTTTTTTTTGGCGTATAGAAGCAAATATAGGTGGGTGGCAGCGTTAACACAAGAAGTGTTTTCAAACTTGGATTCCAAAATAACTATCATTCCATTTTTTACCTTTTATTACTCCTGAGAAATAGTCTTCCTTCCCCTCTCATCATAGAACTTCAGTGAATCTTAACTGTTAAATATTATTTGTGCAAGGAATTTTGCTTGATTTAATGGAGATTTGGTTTTCTGTTTCTTATTTTATATAGTGGAAAGCTTGGACCAGAGTCTTTCTGCAAACTGAGGTTAACTTACAACTTATTGACAGTAAATTATGTGGAAGTATAGTCCAGACTGCCTGCTGCCATGACAGTGACAAGGCCAGGCTGAAAAGCTGTAACCCAGATACTATAGTAGCATCTTTGAGCCATTGGTTCATTTCCACTGTGCTTCCCTGTGAAAATGTGACCTCAGATATTATCTGTTGGCATAAGCTTTTCATTATAATTATGCACGGTCCATGATTCAGTCTCACTTGGAAACACACCTGTAGTTTGCTTTTAAAAATAGTATAGACCCATAGGTTCAATACTGCCAAAGCAAACATTTGTAATAGGAAACACTACCTAGAACAATATGGTTTTGAAGACTTTCAGATACCTTTATTTGGGTTTTTTTCTTTTTTTATTAATTAATTATTTTATTTTTTTACATCATTGTTCATTTTTAAACAATATTTGCTTTCCCCCACCCCCTCAGGTGTAGTCCCCATAGAGTTTCCTTCAATGCACCTGTACACCATCATCAGGTGCTTTATTTTGATTCTTTGGTAAACTTTTACATGTTACTTAGTGAGTTTATGATAACTTATTACCAGTTAGCAGACATGAAATATGAAATGCATCTATTTTCACATAAAAACTTACCATTGTGAAGTAATGACATAGTTTTGCATGATAGGAAACTAGTTTTCATTTTTAAGAATATTTCACAATATGCTCGCATTATGAAGGAATATGGCTTTTAATTAAGTTGCCCAAAAGGATGTTTTTCTTCATGTAATTATTAATAACTAAGTAATAAAATAAAGTGAGCATTACTGATAATCACTAAGAAGCTTTCTGAAAGTATTAAGCCTGTGTCTTGCAAAGTATATAACAGGTGTTCCCACTCCCTGTGTTCTTTGTATACACATTCATTCTGTATTCAAATCACAGAAGTAAGAGGCAGGATAGGGTCTGTTACCTCACTGCTAATTTCCCTGGCAAACAAACCAGCAGCTGCTGGTCCATGAACCAAGTTACCACCAGGAAGAGGGCACCGCATGCATGGGACAGGATGCCTTCATGGAGTCCTTCAGCAGCACAGTTGGGGTCTTTCAGTGCAAAATATACCTCATTCTCCTAGGTAAGTCACTGTATCAATTGTTTTAACTGTTGATTTTTTTTAAATTGTGGACCTAAGATAAATATTAGCTTTAAGCTGTAGATTCACTCAGATAATTGACGAACAGTTCAGAACCTTTTCAACAATAATACACTTTGTTCCAACAGCAGATACGTTTAGGAGAAATGAGGCACAATAAATAGATGGTTATTGTTTCTTAGAGTAACAATTATTGTCAGTAGCCCTATTATCAAGAAAGTTAAGACATTCTAAAATCCTAGTTATTTTCTTTTTACAGAATTTATATATAGGTTCAGTAGACTTTAAGGCATTTTATTTTGACAAATATAGGCCATGAATTTGTGACCACTTATAGTAGAACTCAAAACAATTTATGAAAATTATTTTCTCATTTTTTAATTAAAAACATTGTCACAAACTATTAGCTTTATTTTAAATTGCCTATCTGATGAAATATGAAAAAAGGTGAGGTTCCAAATGGACAAAAAATATTTTCTACACAGATAAGGAGAAATGCTTCAAAAAGTTTTATTCCATCAAAATGGCTTTTGTCTTTCTCTTTGTCCAGACTGGTCTATTAAAACCATGTTTTCTCTTTTAATATTTTCACCTCATTCTCCTCCTTTATGCTTAGAGTTTAAAGGAGTTTTTCTCCAGCATTTCCACTGCTTTGATCTGTCATTTTATTTTACCAGATGTCCTCATTTCCATTTTTCCTGTGTATCAATGTTTTTTAAAGTCAAGTTAGTTTCTTACTTTGTTTATATTCAACAGACAGGAATTTTTTTTAAAGGCTTTATTCCTTAAATTTTAAGCACAAATTTGCTCAATAAGCCATTTAAGTTTTATCTTCTTCAGTTGTTTAGAGCCTCGATTTCCTAGGTTTTTTGTTTGTTTGTTTTGTTTGTTTGTTATAGTTTTTACTGTAAATGTGATTGTACTCAAACATGTACTTAATGCTGTACATACCCCACATCTTTGAAATATATAGTTTGTAAATATTTTTTAAAGTGTTTGAGTTTCTATAATGGTAACTGTTCCAGTGTTTATGTTGTCAAATTTTTAGCCTGTTTAGATATTTAATTTCAAAATTTTTAGAAAAATTGAACAATTGCCATATTTGACTTTTATCTATGTGCATTTTTCTCAGCTTTGAAAGTATCCTGTATGTTAATCCTCCATTTATTTTGAATTTTATGACAACAACAATGCTGTCATTTCATAACAAATGTTTTTGTAAATGGCTTTAAGAACTTAGACACAATCATTTGAGGAACTCAGCTAAAAAAATTAAAATGTGCTTTAGAGAAATAACATATTCTTAAATAATTAAAGCAGTAAATATCACTTAGGAATTTCTTATGCAAATTTAGTTTTCTCCATCAGTAGTGTGTTATAAATATCATAGGTAGTTTGGAAAACTAGTTTTTTTGGATATTGAATTTGTTTTTCTTTTCTAAAGAAATACTAAAAATTTCAAGTTCAAAATGTAGTTTGTAAGGTATAACTCCATAATTTCTATTTTCTCTAATGATGCAAGAGTTTATTTTTAGTCAACAAGTTGTGTTATGCATGATAATGGGGAAGTAAATGCCAACTATTTTGAGCTACACCTAGAGGTCACTTTGTGAAGTCTAATGTTTATATTCAATACAATGAAACTGGTTTAGGGAGTTTTTTGTTGTTGAAATATAGATAAATTTTACTGTATGCCTTCAATTCTTCCTTAACACTGGGTGCTAACTTATTATGTGATTCCTATATCATTCAAGAGTCTCTGAAAAGGAAATTATTGCTATAATTTTGTATGTCAGATTAGTAATGGTATTATCAATGTCTCTTCAGAATAGTATAATGCCTTACATAAAAAACCAAAGAATTTTCCTTATTTGTACTCAAAAAGCATTAGTGAATCTAATCATAAAATTAAATTTTCATTTTAGTTCAAATATATGGAATATCAAAAAAATGAAATTTCATCATTTATTTTCTTGAAGTTTATTTGTTCACACAAAGGGTGACTTCCTAAGATTAACAGTTGTAGTCCTTTAGGTTTCTGATACAATTGGAAAAGAGCCCTTTTAAAACTTTCAAAAAGAAGCTAGTTTTAAGTTCATAGACACCTGTTTTGACAACATTATTCATCACATTGTAGTGGAAAATATAGTAATGGTACAAGAGTATGTGTTTCTAAAATGAAGAAGCAGCATCCAATTATCTGCTAATTCCCCAAAGTTCACTACAAGTAAGGAATACATCATATCAGTAGGTTATTGTCTTTCCGCCAATGTGAAAATAACTATGGGTGGCTGAGATGAGATATTGTGTAAAGAAAATTTCATTCCTGATGTATTATAACTTGCTGCCTACAATACCTGATAAAGATGGTGTAGGCACTCTAAGCAAATAGCTATTATAACAGTTGTATTATCTCTCGCTGTCATACATATATTTTTAAAAAGCACACATATCTGAGAAAAATTAAGATGATATACCATCATATCATTTGATGTGATAAGCGTTGAACATATTCAGAGATATTGTTGACAGTAAATTATTTAAGGTATTATGTGATGCAGTTTCTAAAATAGCCCAAAGAACTAGTTCACCCTCCTTAAACACTTATTGTAAGTGCCACATAAAATGTTATTTTCTGCTAAAGTAGTTTCCTTTTTCCCCTGGGCTGCAATATTTGTATTGTATTTAATATTTTTTAATTAGCATTTGTTTCCCATAACTTCACTCATAGACTCTACAGTCTTTTTATTCTTAAGATTCGACATTCTGATTCAAGATCAAAAGGTATCCAACATTTCTATCCTAGTCATGCTAGCACTCTTTTGTAATAAAGTTTTTTTTTTTAAAGATTTATTTATTTATACAAGCACTGGGTACAGTCAGAAGCGCGGGAGGGTGAGAGAATTCGCCAGAGCTTGAGTGGGGAGCAGAACAGGCAGACTGACGAAGTACACTGCTGAGGGGAGCAGCGGTCGCGGCAGGAGAGGTTTGCGCACCATGTGGTACCCTCCCCGGTGCCCGGAGATTGAACCAGCACTGCAGAGGCTGCGGGCATCTTCGCAGTCCAGCGCTCAAACACTGCACCACCGGGGAGGCCCTAGTAATAAAGTTTTTTGTTACATTTTAGAATATTACTGTCTCAGTTAACCCTTTTCAACCACAATTACAAAAATAGTAAACAGAAAAGGGTACTTCCCCTTTTCAAAAAAAAAGAAAAAGTAAACAAGGATTTCTGCAATGACTTCCTCAGATGACAAGAACAGATTGACCAGAATTGCATTTATGTCATCTATAGTCACATCTCAGACTAGCAGTGGTTTCTTAGTTGAGCTGTGAAATGCATTAAGTAGACCAATAAGTCAATGACCAGACTGCTCACTGTCAGAGGTAACTAATGAATTCCCTGTCAGCAGCCATACAGCTTTGTCCAGTGTTTTCTCAAGACAATAATCTGGATTCCCAGCAGCCTTTTTGGAAACAAACACAGAATTACCACTTTATTAAAGGCTATCTAGGGATTGACAACTTAATAGGTGGACTGAAACCTGAAACTCAATCCTTCAAAATTATGTGGGCCCTCTCTTTAATAAATATGGGCCTTTCACCTTCAAATTTTAAGGTAAATGTTACCCTGAGAAAAGCATCCTGTGATCAAGAGCAAAAACAAGAATGGAGAAAGGTGGTAGACCTTATCTAATGCTACTCCCTTTTCATACATGAGAAAACCCAAGGTCCAGTGAATTAAAATGACATCTATGGTCACTTAACCAGACCAATCACCATTTTATCTCAATTATGTGTCCTGGCTAAATCCTTGCATTTCGATGGATTTTTAACTTTATCAAAGTGTCAAATATCGTAATCTCTCTGCAAATTTAAATATTAGGTTTCTGAACTTCCTTTTTTGAAGGCAATTTGCAAGTGATGAATTCAAAACTACATGATTATAGTGAGAGTAGGACAAAGGAATCCATGATCAAGAGTGAACCATGAAATCTTCATAAATATTTTCATATTCACTCAAATAAAAAAAAAGACATCAACACATTTAAATACAGTAAAATTGCATCTACATATCTTGTTAGTAATAATGGCTACTAAAAAAACTGGTTTTTATTTATTGCTTACCAGGAATTTGTCAGGAGCTCCCTATGACCAATTTCAATGAAAGACATGTAAATGCATGTTGTTTTGTACAGATAATATGTATCCTAAAAGGATTCTTTTTCTGTGCAGGTCCCCTATTCAGATATCCAGTGTCCTACTTCTGTAACTGAAAGGACCTCACTCCCTTCTTTCAATCTCTGCTTGACACATCTCAGACTTCAATAGTTTTAAGTCTTAGATGTGCTCTCATTTTCCTTTCTCTCATAATTTCCTTTCAGTAACCACTACTTTTCTGCAATTCACCTACTATCCTATGTAGATCTCCCAGCAACCAATTCCACCTTTTCGAATGCCAATTAGGAACAACTGTAAATTTAACATTCTTGCACTTAACAGAAAAAAAGAAGCAAGTCCTCGTGCCTGTTGCTATGGGCAGATCACTAAAATGAATGTACAAGTGTAGCCCATCAGAGGAAGAAATGTAAGTTTTTTTCAGAAGAAATAACTGCAAATACAGAGCCCAAGAAAAGTGTAAGATTCTCTATAGACCCTGGCCTAGCTCACAGCAACATGGCCAAGAGCACCAAGAAGATTGGGATTGTCAGTAAATATGAGACCCATTATAGTCCCTCCCTCAGGATAATGATGGAGAAACTTGAAATCAGCCAACATACAAAGTACACTTGCTCCTGTGGCAAAACCAAGTTGAACTCGTGAGCCATGGGGATCTGGCACTGTGGTTCCTGCTTGAAAACGGTGACTAGTGGTGCCTGGACCTACAACTGTCACAGTAAAGTCTGCCATCTGAAGACTGAAGAAATTGAAAGACCAGTAGAAATTCCACCATTTGAAACATTGTCAGTCTACAATAAATAGGGCAATTTATGTAGCAGAATAACTTTGATTTGTTAATTTTGTTTGTGTTCTGACATGCATTGCATTAATTTAGCTTCTCAAAGACTTAGCAGTTAAGATCCTTCTCATTTTTACTGGGAAAAAAAAGAGAGAAGAGTTTAGGGCCTGTTTACTTTTCCCATATAGTCATCTAATTTTCAGCCCATCTAGTCAGTTTCAGTTCAGTTTCTAGGAGTCCTTTCTTCCTCTCATCTCCTGATCTTCCTCTTTGTGCTTTCTCCTCTAGAGTTCATTGTTCTAACTTCCCTGCCAGTACCAAGATCTCACTTGCTGCCAATAGCAAGCCAAAGATCAAAACCTTGGGAATCTTTGCTCTCACCTCCACACTGGAAGAAAAAAGACAACTTTACTGTTACTAATTCCTCATAGGAGCAGGCCTATACCTTTTAGTTTCCTCAAAGAAATCATCACAAAAGACAAACTGACTTTTCTATCTTTCCCTTCCTTATGTTGATGGTCTTTCATAGCATGCTTGCAAAGGTTTAATGATCCCCTTCCTAGTTTAGATGAAAATAAAAAATAATCAGAGAGAATGAACATTTTGTAGATGAGAACGTTGAAAATGTAAGATATCTGTTTGTCCCCAAATTGCCAACTTTTCTCACCCACTAAAGAATTTTATTCTACCTTCGCCCATCTCTTCTGCCCATGAACAATTCTCTTTCTAGTGTATCATTTCTTATAACTGCCAACATACTGTTCAGCATCCATCCAAAGAAAATAAGAAGAAAGAAATGATTTTTCTGCTCCTCTTCACAGCAAAACTCCCCAAGAATGTTATCTGTACATTTTCCTTTCTTCCATCTCTGTGAAAAATACTCCCATTTAATTTCTCCCTTTCTCTTCCTCACTATTTCAAACATTCATGTGATATAGGTATGTACACTAGTGCTCTCTTTTAAAATGGAGACATGGAAGTAAAGAGTTTTCTTTTTATTGTAGCATTTCATGATAGTATGTAAGTTTCAGGTGTTCATCATTATAAAGCAGCATGTGTGTATTTTACTTTAACTTCACTGCTAAAAGCCCAGGTCTATCTGTCACACACAATTGACTCCCTTACCCAATTTACCCATCCTTCCCTTCTAGTAACCACTAATTTGGCCTTATAGTCTAAAAGTTAATATTTGTTTTATTTAATTCACTTGTTTGATGCAAAAACTTTTAATTGGGATTACAACAACATGGTAGCCTGAGCTAAGGAAGACTATCTTCACACTGCCAAATACATCGAAATGGTCCATTAAATAAAAGATTATATCATGACTAAGAATAAAGATGGGGATACAGGTGCCAAAAACTAAGGAGAAAGCCACAGACATAGCAATGAGTGCATGTGCCCTAACCTTTACAGGCTGGGGGTGAGGAGACACAGCTCTGCACTGGGCAGCAGTCTCTGCCCCCAGAGCCCTCCAGACCCCATATTCTCTCTTAACTCCACTTTAATAAGGCTTTCATACCCAATATATCCTACAACATTGCCTCTTGGATGTCTAATAGGTATCTAAGATGAGTATTTATAAAACTGACTCCTGATCTTAAAAAAATTGGTCTCCTCATAATCTTCCATGGTTGATTTATTAGTTACCTATTAAATGACAGCGCCACTAATTCAGTTGATCAGGTCAACAACCTTGAACTCATTCTTGAATCCATTTTGTGTCTTATATCTCAGACTTGGTGTGTCAACAAATCCTATTAACACCACCAGCCTTTTCTCACAGTATCTCTATCACCCTGGTCTACAGAACCCTGGTCTACAGTATTGCTTACTTTTGCAAGTGCTAAGTGCTCTCCTTGCCCCTATTTGAGTCTATTGCCATAGGAACTAGAATATACCTAAAATGGAAGAAGAAAGGGAGGTATGGAAGAGGAAGAAGAAGAAGATTACATCCTGCCTCTGTCCACAAAGTTCCAGTTGCATCCACATCTCAATCAGAGTAAATTTGGCAGCATCTTTGCCATGACCCTAAGATGCTGCCTAATCTGACACTGGCCACCATGCTGACCTCATGTTTATCATGTTCCTCCATTTTGTTGCATCTGTTCCTACTTCTTGCTCTTTCTCGAACACACCAGTCACATTCCTGCTTTTAAGCAGAATTGCTGATTGTGACTGATAATGGTTTAATGCTAACTTCTTTGGATTTTTGCATAAGGCCAGGCTTTAGATAAGGGGTAAAACTTCCAATAATGGACCATTTCAAAAGACTTTGAACAAAGGTTCTTGGGAGGAAATAGCCCCTCAAATTACATAGTTTAATTAAGATATTATATGATTCAGACACTAACAGTCACGATGTCAAAGGTTTCTTTGGACTTTAGAACTAATAATCTTTCCCAGTTCCCCTTTTTCCATTATTCTTTAACAGTCATAGATAATAACTTCTGCTTTTCCTTTTCATCTTGCCTTTAAAGAAGTCATGCATTCAGTATGGTCTTTGGGTGGAGTTCTTAAAATGCAGGTTTCAGAGACAAATATTTACCTCTGCAGGTAACAGAATAGTCAGTACCTAGTAGCCTCTCTTCTTTTAAAGGATTATCACCAGATCGAGTTCTCTCACTGTATTGCCCCTTTCGATTGGAAATGTGGCTTGGGGTCTTAATAGCTTTCTTTTCTTTCTTAGCAGGCACAGCAGGTGTTTGCTCAGGGCTGAAGGTAGTGGTGCCATCACACACTGTCCATGGCATCAGAGGTCAGGCCCTCTACCTTCCTGTGCACTACGGATTCCACACTTTGGCATCAGACATCCAGATCATATGGCTGTTTGAGAGACCACATACGATGCCCAAATACTTATTGGGATCTGTGAACAAGTCTGTGGTTCCTGACTTGGAATACCAACACAAGTTCACCATGATGCCCCCCAATGCATCTCTGCTCATCAATCCACTGCAGTTCACTGATGAAGGCAATTACATCGTGAAGGTCAACATTCAGGGAAATGGAACGCTCTCAGCTAGTCAGAAGATACAAGTCACTGTTGATGGTGAGTCCTGTATAAGTGTAATGGACAACTGGGTAGCATGGTAGCTAGTGGTCACTTGGGAGATCAGATTACATAGGTTTTGGGTCCTGGCTCTGCAATTTTGGGGAAACAGATTAATCCTCACACTCTCAATGTCTTGGGGCACAAATGATATTTTCTACCTTGTAAGCCTTCCTGAGAATTAAATAATATCTGTATATACAATTTACACTAAGTGCCCAGATAAAATTAATCAATGAATAATTAGAACTTACTTGGTTTTTGTTTTTTAGATTTTATTTTATTTATTTCTGTGTAGAAGAACTGGGTTGTAGACCAGAGGAGCGGGGGGTGAGAGCATTAGCTAGAGACAGAGTAGGGAGCAGAACAGGCAGATCTACTGAAATACAAAGCTAAGGGAAGCAGTGGGTGAAACATGAGAGGTCTGCTGTGCCATATGTGGGTTAGCTCCCTGGCTGGGGATCAGACTCAGGCTATTGCAGTGGGACGTCATGGTGGTAGCACTGAGATTTAGCCCCTAGGCCACCAGGGAGGCCCAGGACTTATTTGTTTGACTATAAAATATAACTATAAAATATAAAGTTATTGATATAAGATAGAAAAAAGATCTTATTTTCTGAATATCAGAATGCTCTCTGCAAGAGCTCTAATTGTTGTCACATGAAGATTTTTAGTTTGGTATACTGCTTGGAGAAGGGTGAAACTTGCTCAAGAATCATACTTAGAGACAAAAGAATTTGCTGGAAATATCCCTGAGGGAGAATAGGATCAGTTAATTTTCATACACTTATTTTCTTCATTGAGGTATGTAAGTAGAATACTTTATATGCTATATCTGGTGCCCATATCCTGACTTTTCCTCTAAGTCTGCTTATTTAACAGTATCCCTCCAGTTGCTCTGGTTCAGACTTATGGTCATCATTGACCCCCTTGTTCACTCACACCTCATCTTCAGTCCACATTTTAACCCCACCATTTTTATCTTCAAAATATAAGCAGAGTTCAATCACTTCTAATTACCCCCATACCACCCTGCTCCAACCCCACCAGCAGTTCTGACCTAGATTATCCAAATAGCCTTCCTCTGTAGCATAAAGAGCTTTCTACCACATTCAGAACAAAATTACTAGTAATGGCCTCTAAGGCCCCGAACATACCCAGTACCTATCTGACACTATAGCCTACCTCTCTTCCCCTCACTCTGTTCTGGCTACCCCTCAGGACGTTTGCACCGGCGTTTCACTCTACCTACATTGCTTCTCTCCCAGATGGTCGCCTCCTGTCCTTTCGATCTTAATTGAAATGTTATTTTAGCTGCAGAATCCTTCCTGAATACGTTATATAAACTATAAACTCTCTCTCCAAAATGCACACGCACACACACAAACGGAGGAAAGGAATCTTGTCTCCTGCTTTCTTTTCCATAGCTCTTATTATTTCCACCTGGACATATTATACATTTTTATTCATTGTTTTTCCTCCCTACCTAGAACACAAGGTTCATGGGAACAGGGATTTCGTATTGTTTGCTATAATATTTTGTCCTCAGCATCTAAAACCCATTACTGGCCATTAGTAAGAACACAATAAATATGTGTGGGGTGGGGTCTCCCTGGTGGTGCGGGGCTTTGGGCACAGCACATGCAGCCACTGCAGCATGAGTTCAATCCCCAGCCAGCCAGGGAGCAGCCCACATGGTGCAGCGGACCTCTCCTGCCTCGCCTGCTGTTCCCCTCAGCAGCATAAAAAAAAATCTGTGTGGGGTGAATGAGTGGATACTGGAGAGGAGCACACACACAGGATGTGGAAATAAATGCCTAGCAAGCAACTTTGGGGAGAGAAAGGGAGAAAGTTATTAAGGATATTTTTATGAAATTCTCCTGTATCCTGTGTCTCCCTGTAGTGCAAGCATAGGACAGGTTTACTGTAGATTTCAACAGATGGAAAAGGAGAGTCCTAGAGCCCTGGATAGATTTTTAAAGACCTTTAATGCTCTCTCAGGGAACCAGATACACAGGCACATCAGGCGGGGCAGGCACTGGCCAGGCAGCAGGAACCAAAGACTGAGGAAGCAACTGAGCCTCCCAGTTCCCTGCAAATCTTTGAGCTTTCTCTCCATCTGGTGATGTTTCATAGTCATGTCTCTATCTCCTAGTCTCACCTCAAAGTGAAGTCGCCCTTTTATCCATTGTCTCTCAACACAGCGCACTTACACATGCGCATGCCCATGCTCCCTGGGCCAAGGTATCCATAATCGTGGACTGGCATGCCCGGTGCCCATGACCCACACCCCAGGCATACACACTAGTGGTGTGTCTGATAATTCCATTCACCCTACACTTCCCCTGAAATTTTTTTTAATTAAACTATTTTATCCCAAAATTTTAATGGCGCATTTATTGTTTGTTAATGTATAGTAAAAATGAATCTCCTTAGGGAAATGCAACCAAAATGCATTAATAAGAGACTAGAGCCTGTATAAAAATCTTCTTGGGACACTTTCACATTGGGTTGTACTGCTTGGAAGCAGTGTATTTATTATATGATCGCAGTACCAATGTCTGTTCTAATGATTGGTTCTTCTCATACAAGACGAAATGTGTTACTTGCCTGACTTATCCTATAGCACATATATTTCCACACAGAGACATATTTGAAATGTATGCTTTTTTCTGCACGATAAATGTATACAACTCAATTTTTAAAAAATCATGATAGTGGAAACAAAAGTTATTCTGAATCCTTAGTTCTTGCCAGAGAAAATAAAGGATTAAATTAAATGGACAAGACAGCTAATTCTGATTGCACCCACCTTAAAAAGGCTACTCAACACCCTGCAAGTTTGCTTTCATCCTCCTTTCTCTTTATCTTTCATTTGCCCCTGTCTTCTCTGGGCTGAAGGATTGGGTCTATTTGTGCCTTAATGCACATTTTTCAGTGTAGGAAAATGTGAGTATGAGTAAGGAGAAATTTACCTGAGGAAGTGTACCAATCCCAGATAAAAGCTTGATATGAAATTGAAATACGAATATTAGAAACAATCATCTGTCACTTCTATATCATTTACTCTGCGTCCTGTGATCATACATGGGAGATTATTAAATGTATCTCCAAAATGCTGGAGAGAAACATTGCCAGTTTAGAGCCCTCTTCATTTTGCCACTGACTGCTGTGTAATTCTGGGCAAGTAATATTCAAGAACTGCTAAGATTAATGAAGCTTGCTAGAAATGGTCATGGATACTTACATAATTCTCACCTAAATCCAGCAATTGCTGGTGGGAGTGCAAACTAGTCCAACCACTATGGAAAGCTGTGTGGAGATTCCTCAACCTGCTAAAAATGGAGCTACCATATGACCCAGCAATTCCACTGCTAGGGATCTACCCAAAGGACACAGAAACATTGATTCAAAAGAACACCTGTACACCTATGTTTATTGTAGCACTATTTACAATAGGTAAAACCTGAAAACAACCCAAATGCCCAAAAATAGATGACTGGATCAAGAAGATGTGATATATATATACACAATGAAATATTATCCAGCAATTTTAGAGTTAAAATTCAGGGAAGAAATATTTATTCATTTGATAAATATTATAATGTCCTATTGTGGTCCAGATTTACAAAATAAAACTATTTTCCTTTATTATTTGAAGTTTCAACAAGAATCTCTATTGAATTTGTCAACTGTATCTCTAAAATGATGTAATCCTAACACATTTTATCCTATTTTTAGATACAGTTGATGTGAAAATGCAGGCTTTGGTGTGTTGAAATGACTAACATAATGTTGAAACACAAATGCAAAGCAATGAAAATGTATAATGAGTTCTCTTATACAGAAGGAAAAGCAAATAGTACATGTGTGGTGCTCTAATACTTTGCCTCAATTCCTCACATGCCTGATAGGATATATATAAGCTTTATATTTTAGAAATGGTAGATAGAAGTTTGGTTTTAGCACAGCTACCACTGCCAGCTGCTCTTGGGACTCTAGGACATGGCAAAAATGGAAATAGCTATGAAAATTTTGCTAGTGAGAGTGTGCCTTTATGGTGCTGGGAAAAACACACTGAACAGGAAATAAGAAAATTTTCTTCCACTAACTGTACTAGCTATAAAATAAAAATTTACATTAGAAAATTTTGAAAGCTTAGTTCTGAATTTAGTTATCTCGGATATAAATGATAGTTGTTTGTTTTGTCATTCTGCATTTCCATTACTTTAAATGTTTCTTTCCTTTAATTATTGCTTGAACTGTCTACAGTTAAAAAGCATAAAACTTTGGAATCATTTCCCAGACTTTCATATTTGAAAGACCTTATTCAGTTTGATTATACTTCCATGGTGGCAAGTCATTTCCATTTCTCTTGTTATTACAGACCCTGTCATGAAACCAATGGTGCAGACTCAACCTACTACTGGGGCTGTGGAGTATGTGGGGAACTTGACCCTGACCTGCCTGGCGGAAGGGGGCACCCGACTGGTTTACCAGTGGCTAAAAAATGGGAGACCTGTCCACACCAGCTCTACCAACACATTTTCTCCCCAAAACAACACCCTTCATATTGCTCCCGTGACCAAAGAAGACATTGGGAATTACAGTTGCTTGGTGAAGAACCCTGTCAGTGAGATGGAAAGTGACATTATTATGCCTACCATATATTGTAAGTTTTCTAAATATAAATATTCGTGAGCTTCCTTCTGGAATGGTTTTACAAGGGTAGTCACAGACACTATCGCCACCAAAAACCAAAAATTGTTTTTACCATTATTGTAGTGCAATATTCATGGTAATTATACTTTCCAAGCATTGTCTTCTCATGAGATGTATTTACTTGCACAACCCTACTTCTTAAAGGTTTAGTTGAGGTACTCTCCCCGGGCCTAGAATGATACACTTGTGACTTAGACCATTATGGCCCCTTATTTCCAATGGGAGGTAGGAACTTCAATTTAAAGAACATAGAGCCATGCAGAAGGCGCTAATTTTTTTCATTCCCAAGAAGAAGGAGTCGGTGGTCATAAATTGAGGGAGGGATGTGCTGTGCACCGGAACACAGGGAGAAGAGCACGCTTTAAGGTTATGCATAGGTGGGACATCCCCAGATTTGGCTGCTCTCTGCCTACTTCTCACCTCCATTTTTAGAGGCAGAACATAGGGAGGATCACAGAGAACACTTATTTACTCTGTAGTAAAGTACTCAGGTTCCCAGGAAATCAGTAATTATTTCAGATTTCATTTTTCTTTGATTCCTTTCTCTGTTGTTTTTGATGCTTGCTGTTGTTGTTTAACCTCATGTACAGAGTTAAGTTCATCAAACTCTTTAGTTCATGTCGTAATGTCATCACCAACCAAAAAAAGATCCCTGTTTTTCTTTATTGTATTATTTTCCCCAGTCCCCGGTACTCCATATCATTACTTCTCAATGTTTAATATTTCATTTCAGTTTCAGCTTTGCTCAGGGCTTCTCAGTCTCCACACTCACATTTTAGGCTGGACAGCTCTTTGTTGTAATAGCTGTCCTATGTATTATAGGAAGTTTAGCAGTATCCCTGGTCTGTACACACTGCGTAGCAGTAGCTTCTACCTCCATTTGTGACTAACTGAAAACATCTCTGGACATTGCCTTATGTCACTGGGGTGGAGAGGCACAATAGCTCTATTAGTTGGGAACCAATGACCTGTCACACTGGGAAGTCTTCTTCCCAGTTCCCCATATAGCTTGACACATAGCCACAACCATTCAACAAGAAAAGTGAGGTATGGCAAGGAAAAACTTTCACACTTCTGATGTGAGAATGGTTTCAGCTGGTTGACCTGTAGGGTAGAATTAAGCCTGGCAAATGTATCCACTCATTCATCAAGTGAATGTACATAATCCTGGAAGAGGCCTTAAAACATAGGACGTAGACTATCCTAAGTGGGAAACTGCTTCCATCATTATACATGTGACCTTAAGTAAGTCCCTGGATCTTTCTGAGCCTCGTCTGTAAAGTGGGGATAGTTAAAACTACCTTACCACAGACATGTGGAACTGTCTGAAAAATAGTCAATGACTGACACAAGGCAAGCTCTCAGTAAATGGAGCCTGATTTTTTTTTTAAAGATTCATCTATTTATGCATAAAATAACTGGGTGTAAGCCAGAGGTGCGAGGGGGTGAGAGGATTCACCAGAGAGACTGGAGAGCAGAACAGGCGGATCTACTGAAATAGACTGAGGAGGGGAACAGCGGGCAAGACAGGAGAGTTCTGCTGCACCATCTAGTTTGCTCCCTGGCTGGCCAGGGATTAAACTCGTGCTGCAGTATCTGGCAACAGCTCGATAGCACCATGTCTTTAACACCTGTGCTACCAAGGAGGCCCAAATGGGGCCTGATTTTATAATTGATACATCTGTATTCTATATTGTTTAATAGAAAACTGAGTCCTTTTGAGAAATAGAAGTAACTCTTTGGGGAAAAGTGCCAACATATGTACTACATGTAGGTTTTCCTAACTATATAAAGCTTAAGGTTAGGGCCTCCCCTGGTGGCACAGCGGTTGAGCGCTGGGCTGCGAAGCTGCCCGCAGCCTCTACAGTGCTGGTTCGATCCCCGGCCACCGGCGAGGGTCCCACATGGCGCGAAGACCTCTCCTGCAGTGCCCGCTGCTGCTCCCCTCAGCAGTGTATTTCATCAGTCTGCCTGTTCTGTTCCCCGCTCTGGCTCTGGTGAATTCTCTCACCCTCCTGCGCTTCTGACTGTACCCAGTGCTTGTATAAATAAATAAATAAATCTTTTTTTAAAAAAAAAGCTTAAGGTTAAAACTGAGCTCCACCAATGGCAAAGAGAATTGCTGGGAGGAGTATGATGATGTGGTACAAGTAAACAATAAGGTTTACTTGGATAAGCAAATTAAGCTATAGAAAATGGAATCATTGAATTTGGAAACTAGAAGTTACCCTATCCTACATTATGGGGGGGAAAATGTGCACAATAAAATACATGAAATAAAATGTTAACAGATACCACATTTAAATATACAAAGGAGTGTAGTGACAGGAACAAGCACTCTGGAGCCGGAAGGCCTGGGTTCAGATCCTGGCTCTACTACCTTATCTCTATGTTCCTCCGTTTCTTCATCCATATAATGGTGGTAATGGCAGTGCTTAGTTCATAGAGTTATCGTGAGGATTAAGTCTCTTATCATACATGAATTTCTAAGAACAGTAACTGGCCTGTAATAAGTACATTATATCTGTTAGTCATTATTATCACTGATATTATTAGTGTGTGGAAATTCAGAGAAGAAAACATTACTTCTGGCTGGGAATAAGCTTCTTTTCAGAAAATCACATTTGAGATGGATCTTATATAGCATGTACAATTGGGGGCAAATGGCAATATAGCAGGAACCCAGACACAACATAGAGGTCAAAGTATTTGGCAAATCGTGGTTTGATTAGAATGTAAGACACAGGAAAGAGGCAGTAGAATTGATGCTAAGATAGATTTCTTTGAGTCAGATTTTGGGGAGCTTTCAACACCAGGCACCATTTGGTAAACAATGAGTAAAAGTTATTTTTAAACAAAGGTTCATATAAAGACATCTAAAGAATGGTTTATAAATAAATAGTTATACATATTCTAGGCTAATTCAAGAAATATTTGTCAAGAGAGTATGTTTTCAAGATAGATTACAAACATCATACAATTATAAAAAAGATGTACATATATAGGAAAGGAAAATGGGAGGTGTGATATATGTAAATCTATGAAATACAGAGGAGAAATAATCATCAAACTTGAACTATATGCAGTGTTTAAAAATATTAAGAACAATTTGAAAGGTTTTTTTTTTTTTTTCCTGAAAAATGTTCACATAGAAATGGAAAAAAACTTCATACTTTGTGTAATTCAATGTTGTGGTATGGAATCAAAGAGGATTAGCTGCCACTTAAACCTAGTTTGAAATTCAACATCTCAAAGGTGAACCAGCCCCTTCACATAGAAACAGAAGAAATTATATTAAAGAATGTCAAAGAAGAAAATGTGACATTTTTCACCAAGTAATGTCAAAATATCATACACTACAGCAAATTACATAAGATTTGTCCCAGTCATTGCTCATATTGTATTTAAGTATGACAATTTTATAGCTCAAATCTTAGCAATATTTTACATTAGTTGATGCATTATAGCAGATAACATTGTGTAAATATTCTGTGTGCCTTAAAGCATAGACAGATATAGATTTACAAAGATAGTTCTAGAGTGACTAGCTTCATGAGTAGCATTGAGCTGAAGTGAAGGATTCAAATTTGATGCAATTTATACTTGTATTCATATTCTTGACAGAATAAAATATTCTGACATGAGTGAAATAAAACTTCCACTCAGTTTCAATTAGCACAAACCTAAGCATTCAAGTAAAATATGGTGAAAGAAAATGTGAGCAAAGTAAATCAAATCTAGAACTATGTAGACATATCCTTACATTATTCTTTGTTGTTTGGTCTAGGTGGTTTATAGACACATAGAAAAGGCATAAGATGAAAAATAAGGGATTAAACAATTATTATATACTGAATATTAATCCTGAGATGCCGCCATTCAATGTAGTAGGAGACAACCAGAAGTGAGATTGTGTTGGAGCATTCCTTGTCAACTGAAGAAAGCTTGACTATGTGATATCTTGTCATTTATGGAGTTTAGTGGATAATACAGGGTGTGAGCCAGAGTGTAAAGGCAGATGACCTGTGTTAAAGCCCCACTTCTGCCATTAGCAGTGTGCGCAAGTGACTGACACTTTCTGTGCACCCACTTCTTCATCTCTTTGTCTACACTGACCGCAGTGTGCCTAGCTCAAAAAGGATGAGGAGAATGAAATGAAATTTTATGTATATAGATCATGTTAGCCCTTTTTTTCCCCTTTCCTGTTTTGTTTTGGTTTTTTTTTTTTTTTTTTTTTTTTTTTTTTTTTGGTAATTGTTTGAGCCAAAACTGGTATTGGTAGCACATAGCAAGAAGTTTTGAAGAACCTGGATAATGTAGAAGATACCCACAAAGAGAAATCTGAAAAGACTACCTTCAGAAGGATTTTTTTCTTCCCCCAAATATAACCATTCTTGAATTTGACATACTTTATTTTCTACATGAAAATAGTTTCCTCATATTCTTTCTTCTCTCTATCAATCTATCTTTAAACAATGGACATAGATTTAAATTTTTTTTCCTAAAGATTTATTTTTTATTTATACAAGAACTGGGGTACAGGTCAGAGGCGCAGGAGGGTGAGAGAATTCACCAGAGACAGAGCAGGGAGCAGAACAGGCAGATGGACCAAAGACACTGCTGAGGGTAGCAGCGGGCAGTCAGGAGAGGTCTGCCACACCATGTGGGTTTCTCCCTGGCTGGCCGGGAATTGAACTGGCACTGAAGAGGCTGTGGACAGCTTCACAGTGCGGCACTCAACCCGCTGCGCCACCAGGGAGGCCCTAGACATAGATTTAAATGAAAAAAATGTGGGACTTTACATAAATAATTATAGGCAGGTGAAAATATCATTTTCATCTGAAAATAATCTTTTGTTTTGCTATATACTATATTTACTATATTTTAATACTATATACTATATTTAATACTATATACTATTTAATTTTATATACTATATACTATATTTTA